AGCAAACCACGCTTCAAGTCTCCAAGCGTGCGCAAAAGTTCGTCAAAGTCAGCTTGACTTGCTTTCTTTAGCTCCATTCGCTCAAACATCTCTAGCAAGCCTCCGAAAGTCTCCAATATCATTGGCGCAAACAAGAAGCTCAACTTGCCAAAGAGCATGAAGGTATCAGGCCTTAGCTAAAAAATGTGAAGAAGTTTGGTCCGGTACTCCTCTCTTACACCGGCAAAGAGAGATTCAGGATTCAATCTCACGTCTAAGCCTGATTGATCATCCTTCAGTGTGACCACCCCATCTTCACCCCACGACATTGTAATTCCCTCCTCAATCCCAACAATGGTCGAAGATGCACTTGAACCACTGATCGAGCCTGCTCGACCTACTTCAGACTGAGGAACCTCGGATAGCTCACTGTCGATTGGAGCAGCCTCAGTCGATGACTCTCCAAGCTGAAGCTCTGTATGCCCTCCTACAGCTTGAATGCCTTTGGATGGCTCTGACTTAACCTGTATTGCCTCAAACACAACCTCTGAACCTGACTGATCCTTCAATTTGATCACCCCATCTTCACCCCTGGAAATAGTAATTCCCTCCTCAATACCAGCAGCCACCAAAGAGGCACTTGAACTACTGACCGGGATTGCTCGAGCCACTTCTGACCGAGGAACTTTGAATCGCCTGCCCTTGATTGGAGCAGCCTCAGTCAAAAACTCTCCAAGCTGAAGCTCTGTCTGCCCTCCTACAGCTTGAATGTCGTTGGATGGCTCCACCTTCACCTTGACTGCCTCAAACAGGACCTGAGGTGGCTCCATCAGTTCTTTGATAGCCTGGTTGCCACCGGACAGATCTACATTGGCTTGTACTGCCTCGAGCACATCATGTTCTGATCTAGGCAGCTCAACCGATGGTTTGCCTCTAGGCTCCTCGACCACATTTGGCTTGGCCAGCTCCTCCCCAACCACATTAGGATTAGGATGGGCTAGCCCCTCCTCAACTGTAGCAGCATCAGTTTGAGAAGGCTCGAGGTAACCACTCTGCTGCTTTCTAGTGCTCATCTCCAAAGCACCTCCTTTTGATGAGGCTAACTCCTCCAAGTCTCTTACAGCAGAGTCTATGGCATGAAGAGCAATTTTCTTTACCTGTTCAAGTGAAGCACAACTCAGCGACACAAATAGCTCTTATTAAAGGGAACATATTTCATACCATAAAAATGTTAAAATCCTAAACTCCAATATAAAGACTTCATTTGAACTATCCCAACTCCAGTGTGCAATGGCTTTTGGATGTATAACAATTTTCTATTCAAGCACAAACAATCTGGGAAACTTGCAATCAAAATTTATTCCAAAAGATGCATGCAAGCAAATTAGTGACTGCATGGCATCACCACAGGTTATAACATATAGGGTAATTCTATTTGCACACCACACTTTGTCTTAGTGCACACCATTTTGCCGTTCAAATATCAACTTCCGAACAAAAATTAATTGTTCGAATATCAACTTCCAAATAAAAACCAATTTTTCGAACAAAAACCATGTTCAAAAGTTGATATTTGAACAATTGGATTTTGTTCAAAAGTTGATATCCAAACGACAAAGTGTGGTGTCAGAATAGAACTACCTGTATTGAAGGCATTAATCATAAACAATTAAACTAAGCACAAGAAATTAAAGTATCAACAAATATGCCAAAGACAACAAAACAACTCATTAGTACTCTATGATATTCTATGTGCCTTGAACACAAAAGGACCATTACCACATGGAGTTAATGCCCCAATGGCAAGTTCTTCGCATTGCTCCATGTAATTTATGTCTTTCTAATTCCTCTATGCACCTAATGGTACAAACTGATGTAGCTATGTTTGCCATCTTGATGCATAGTGGAAGTCCAAAAAAGTTGACAAGAGTAGAGATCTGCTAAGAAGGGATTTGAGGTAAAACTTAATAAAATTGTAGGACAGTTGAGCATTGGAAGTAGATTCTGATAATTGAAAGTGAACGGATGAATAAAGATAGAAGAGATGTACATCGTTAAAATCTTTGTGCAAGTACAATCATTCATGAGAGGATTTCAAATAATATAATCACCAAGGTATTTCAAATTCATTCTCGAAATCAAGATGAACAACATTATATTGAATTGAAGGCTATACTCCTTCAATGTGTGATACCAAATCCATTCATTTGAATTCCATAAATTCATATGCAACCTTAAAAATCACCCTATCAACTTGATAGGATAATTTGTTACACAGAAAATATGATCCCTGCACCAATATAGTGTTTTAACATATGTCATGCTTGTGATATATCTAGATATTATCTGATTTTAGAATCACATTCAAATATTATTTTGGGTTGGTCAATAGATTGATCAATACATTGCAAATATCTACAGCACGGTTTTAAGAAGCACAATTATGACAAACTTAGTAGTTAGGAAAGCATTTTCTTAGAAATTAAGAAAAAGGGTACCGGAATGGAAATGAATTAAAACAATAATCAATTTGAATGTTAGATAAGGACCCTTTTTCTCAGTTTTGGAGGGAAATGCAAGCAAATCAATAAAATATGTAATATTAGAAAAACTAATGGATGGGATTTGATAGAGAAGGACAACTTGGTCCAGTTTAAAAAGCAGAGTCAACTCGTTATCAAAGCTAAATATATGCAAAAACTGTGGTTGAACAAGCCAACAAACAGTCCAGATGACATTACAGAGAAATAATCATATGGTCTACCTCCAACTTGTCTTCTTTGGCTCTACGATTTCCAGGGAGTGAATGGAACTCCTCGGTTAAACGAATGCACTCACTTACATTTTCAGCTGAGACAAAGTCAAGCGCAACCTTTATGCATGACTGCAGATATAACCAAAAAGGGTTATCAGAAATGGCCTCCGAACTCTATGAAACATTTTTTTCTATCATAATTAGAACATAAACCTTGAGAATAAAAATCAATCCTTTCATTAGTGAAGGATTGGTCTATATTTATAACAAAGAAAGACTTCAACTTGAGAACTCAAAAAACATCTCCACAATACAAGCGAAGACAGCAATTCTGAACTCTATAAGATCGTTTATTGAAAGGGACTTTGGAAATTGCAAATTGCTATGCAGGAATCATCTTTTGATGGATCTCACACCATCAAATCAGGGGCCGTATGTCACCTGAATCAAACTCTTGTATCAAATAAGTTTAGAAGCTAATGTGCAGCAGTGAAGTTACAAAAGTTAGGTTAGCACAAAATGAATAATGTCAGATGTGAGTTCACTCTCTCCATTACAAATCCATAGTATAATAATTTGCCACCAACCTCTAGACATCACTCCAAATAAGATCTATTACCATTGTTGTCAAATTGAGAATCAACCGTGAATCATTTTGCTAAAGTAGTGAATCGTATCGTATTGTGAATTGTAAGATTCACTTTATTTGGCATAATATATATTTTTATATATGCATATTCCTATAAAAATACACATAATGTTTAAAAAGAAATAAATATCAATATAACTAAATTGTATATATGTATATACATATAAAATCATGTATATCAATATAATTAGTTGATCTTTCTTTTTATTTTGCGAAAATGGCACCATTTCATGCATTATGCAAACAAACAGAATAGCTTCAATCACAGTGAATCACAATTGGATTGTAAGATTCACTCAATTTAAGATTCAACTACACAAATCAAATCGTTTTGCTTGAAACTCGTATCGAATTATATGAAACAAATCATGAATCGTAAGATTCTAACAACCATGTCTATTACCATTTTATTATGTATGCAATATGGATACATTATTCGCATAGTAACCTATAAGATAGAAGTTGAAATACTTTTATCATCATAAAATAACACTACAATGTAGATACTACAGAAGGCACACAACACAAGTCTCAAAAAGCCTATAAAGACTTATGTGAATCGTGACTCTCATTGATGCAATTGTGAAGTCAAAAAGGAAAATGGCATATATAATGAATACATTGAAGAAAGCATGTGTATGTGACAATTCAAGTAGAAAGACCAAGTTGAAAGCTAATAATCAGAAAGTAGAAGTTAAAAACACCTCTCCCCTTACTTCCCAATAATTACCTTTTTTTCCAACTTCTTTAAGCTATTTCTGCCTCAAAAACTGTAAGCAGAAACGCGCCACACATTTCTAAAATTTTAAAAAGTACTGAGCATTGGTTCAATGGTAAAAACTTGGCCTAATAACTTTGAGGTTATGGGTTCTAATCTCGGAGCAACCACTTTGTATATTATGCCAAAGGCTAGGTGTGTACCTAATTTTTTCCCTCCCAAACACACATCAATGTGTATTACTTGGGCGTTGTTGAGAATAAAACAAAAATCTATAAGCAGCTCCATAAGTTGCACCAAACAGCTCCAATATAGCTTTTGGAAAAGTGGTATCTGTTCAGACTTTACAGATGGCCCTATATAAGGTAGCACTTCAAATTTATGAACTCCTAAACCAGCTAAAATCTTACAATACTGTTGGAATTCAATGTATAAAGAGAATTGTATTATTGATTGATGTATATTCTTTTACAAATGGTGAGGGGCTCCTTATATAGGAGATGTAGTGGAGTAGGTGGTAGTAGGTGGTAGTGGTAGGTGTGTAGTAGGTGGTCAAAAGAAGGAGATCAAGTTGAACTCAATGAAAAAAAAGAAATAAAAGATGAGGTAATAAAGTTGACATGTGCACTAGAGAAGTTGATTGAGGATGCAATTGATGTTCAAAAGATGATAATTTAATGTTCAAGTGAATCTAAGACAGTGCAAAGTCTAGAGAGTATCCAACATCAACATAAAATACACTCTGTTGATTTTCTTGGTGTGGAGCAATTTAATTTGATTTTCAATTCTTGTCTAATTAATCTTGTCAACCAGTTGAAGCATCTAGAGAAGAACTTACAGAAAGAAAACTTTTTTGTATACAATTTTTGGAAGAAGGGCTAGCAAGTGAAGTATTCAAAATATCTCTTTATTTGTCATGGAAGATGACAGATCTGTAGTTGAAACTCAAGGACGAGTTCTTTTAAAGAAGAGGAGTATGATGTAGAACAAAATTATATAATTTTTATATTTCTTAATTTTATTATTTTGGAATTAGATTTTGACAAGGATTTTAAATAGTTTAGAATTTTAATTTACTATTTTTTTAGGTTTTCTAATTTGTATTGATTTAAATTTCCTAGTTTATTTTAGAATTACTTTTCCTACAAGTATTACGTTTAGTTTATTATAAATAAGCCTACAAGCATATGTAATGGAGGCATTCAATCAATAATATTTTAAAAAGTTTTTCTTCTATTTTCCTTGTGGATTCAAGGGTGTTCTTGTGGATTCAAGAATTCTCGTCTGCTAGAACGATATCAAGTCCCTGTTTCGTCTACTAGAACGATATCTAGTTCATTCTTACACTAACGCTGTGTCAATGTTGCACGTGTCATGTCCTACATATTTTGAAAATTTCCGTGTGTCTATGTGTCCTTATCGTGTCGTGTGTCCATGCTTCTTAGGATCTTGTGATATATGTCAATGCTGATAGAGTGAATTTTGATGGTTGGAGTAGGATCCCTACACCAATATAATGTTTAACATATGTGATGCTTGTGATACATTTATGATATTAGCTGATTTTAGAATCACATACAAATATTCTTTTGTGGTCAATACATCACAAATATCTACAAACACAATTTTAAGAGGCATAATTATGACAAACTTAATAATTAGAAAACATTTTTCGAGAAATTAAGAAAAATGGTACCGGAATGGGAAATTAATTAAAACAATAATCCATTTGAATGTTTAGGTAAGACCCTTTTATCTAAATGCAAGCAAATATGTAATACTAGAAAAGTAATGGATAAAATTTGATAGAGAGGAATAACTTGGTCCAGTTTAAAAGTAGAGTCTTAACTGATTAGCAAAGTCAAATATATGCAAAATCTGTGGCATTCCAATACCTAGTTGAAAAAGCCAACATATAGTCCGGATGACATTATAGAGAAATAATCCGGATGACATTATAGAGAAATAGTCATATGGTCTACCTCCAACTTGTCTTCTTTGGCTCTATGATTTTCAGGGAGCAAACGGACCTCCTCGGATAAACGAATACACTCGCTTAAATTTTCAGGTGAGACAAAGTCAAGGTCAACCTTTATGCATGACTGCAAATATAACCAAAAAGGATATCAGAAAACGGCATCTGAACTAACCTTTTTTATGAAACAATTTTTTCTATCATATTTATAGCACAAAACCTTGAGGGAAAAAAAATTCAATCTTTTCAGTAGTGAAGGATTGATTTATATTTATAGCAGTAAAGTCTTCAACTTGAAAAGTCGAAAAACATCTCAAAAATGGAACTTGAGACAGCAATTCTGAACTCTACAAGATCGTCTATTTATAGGGACTTCTGAAATTGCAATTTGCTAAGCAGGAATCATCTTTTGATGGATCTTGCAACCATCAATCAGGGGCCATATGCCACCAAAACCCAACTTTTGTATCAAATAAGTTTATAAGCTAATGTGCAATGGTGAAGTTACAAAAGAAAGGTTTCAACACAAAATAAATAATGTGATAAGTGGGTTCATTCTCTCTCCATGACAAATCCAAAGTATAATAATTTGCCACCAACCTCTAGACCCCACTCCCAATAAAATCTATTACCATTTCATTATGAATGCAATATGAATACATTATTAGCATAGAAACCTATAAGACAGAAATCAAAACACTACGATGTAGTCTCAAAAAACTTTTAGTAAAGAGTTCTCCAAATGGTGACTCTCATTCCTGTATTTTTTAAGCCAAAATGAAAAATGCCATGTAGAATAAATACACTGAAGAGAGCATGTGCATAGAAACTGGGACAATTCAAGTGGAAAGACCAGGATATGCACGTCTGCTTCTATCTTTTTGTATTTGTGCAACCGCATGTTGTTGGCTTGAAAGCAGTGTGTGTAACAATAACTTATAGAAAAGTGGTAATTGTTCAGACTTTACTGATGGCCCTACATAAAGTAGTAACTTCAAAATTACAAAATCCTAAACCAGCTAAAATCTTACAATACCTTCAAGTTTCTAACTTGATAAGGACAACCGGCAGGAATAAAAACTGCATCTCCAAGTTTTTGCACAAAAGTCCATGGTTCAATTCCTGTACAAAAGCATCCATTTGACTATTATTGTCACAAAGTCATATCATCAAGTTAAACTGCCTTAAATAATATACGATAAACTAACCGTATTCTTCCTTCAGCTTTCTTTTGTGCTCAAGAGTAAAATAGAAAGTCTGGTCATGAATGGGGTGAACAACCTGTAACAGAAAATATACATAAAAATGGAAAATTAAAGACGTCTAAAAGATTGAAAACACAAGTAAACCTCAATGAAATTCCTTCACCACAAAATGAAACACCACAACGTGGCTTATAATCCAAGTAGCATGAGGATCTAGGCAATCCTTCCACTTGAGGAGGCACCTCTGGAAGCCACAATGGAAAGAACTGACAATCTCATCCTCAACCTGTGTTGCAAAATATGGGGAGGCACTAGTATAGATGACGTAGTAACTCCCCTAGTAAGAACACATGCATGCAATTTCTTCAAGGTATTTGAGGATACGCTTATGATGAACAGGTATCACAACATGCTTACTCTCGTGAAATTCTTGATTTCTATGGAAAGTTTCACCAAGAAGTATATAGTTTTCATTACTTAGAAAGACTTTTCACCAAATATCAACATATAAATCTCAAATTTGTTGAGAAAATGATTCATTCGGAAACTCTTAAGAGAAACAAACATCAAGATGATGCGAAAGAATACAAGAACAACAAAAAATGGAGAAAACTAAGAACTCCTAACCAATAACATCATCCAAAAAATCTAACAAATAAATCTGGATCCACCTCTCTCTCCAACCAACTATGCATAGTAACTAATAACCAATTCTCAAGCCATGACACACAATGATGAATCTTTTGAAAAGTTCGTTGATTCCGCTCCAACCAAACCAACTACATCAAACAAAAAGACGCCAATGGCCAAACCTATCGCTGTTGACGCTTAACCCAAGCCCCCCGTCAACTCCATAACATCTCTAGAACACACTTCGGCTGCACCCAAACAATATCGAAAATAGAACATATAAGCCCCCAAAGCTATGAAGCTACTGGACAATGAGTCTTAGCATCCGCACAGCACATACAACACTGATTCACTAACACGTGTTCTCGACAAACCAGGTTAACAATAGTAAGATTCCGTCCCAAGGCAGCCGTCTATAAGAAGAAAACCAGCTTAGATAGAACTCCCGACACTGAGGAAGCACGGGTGTAGGTACGATACGAGTACGCCGATATGACAAATTCTTAAAAAGTAGGGTACAAGTACGGTTGAGGTACGTCATTTTTTTTTATAGCTAAACATCCAACAAATAAATCAAAGTTTAATATCATAATTAAAAAGAGAAATTACGAAACCAAATAAATTATTCTTCAACAATACTAGAGTAGGTCCACGAGCTATTTGAATGTCATTACATAGAATAGATTAGAAAAGAGAGTTTCATGCCAAAAACAAGCTAAACAAAAATAAAAGATAACTCTAATAAAAGTAGGAAACTTGGAACATCAACTTTGAATTCCATCATTAAACAATACGGTTTCCATCTCCGGCTCATCAACTGAAAGATTTGTAATTTCTAATAAACCAGAGCCCTTCAATGAATCAAAAGCATCTCCACCAATGTCCCATAACTTGCTCTCTCCTTCTGTGTATTGTCGACGACTCCTTGATAGAAGGCGAATATTAGAATGCACAAAAACCAAATCCTCACAACGTTGTGGAGTCATTTTATTCCTTCGCATGGAGTGAATGAAAGTGTATGCGCTCCAATTCCTTTTACAACATGAATGCTCCAATAATTAGCAGTGAAATTACTTGGCCAACCTTGTTCCTCTTCATGTTGTGAAAGGAATTGAAGCGCATACACTTTCATTCACTCCATGCGAAGGAATAAAATGACTCCACAACGTTGTGACGATTTGGTTTTTGTGCATTCTAATATTTGCCTTCTATCAATGAGTTGACAATACACAGAAGGAGAGAGCAAGTTATGAGACATTGGTGGAGATACTTTTGATTCATTGGAGGGCTCTGGTTTATTAGAAATTGCAAATCTTTCACTTGATGAGCCGGAGATGGAAGCCGTATTGTTTAATGATGAAGTTGATGGAATTCAAAGTTGATGTTCTAAGTTTCCTAGTTTCATTAAGGTTATCTTTTATCTTTGTTTATCTTGTTTTTGGTGTGAAACTCTCTTTTCTAATTTATTCTATGTAATGACATTCAAATAGCTCGTGGACCTACTTTAGTATTGTTGAAGAATGATTTATTTGGTTTTGTAATTTCTCTTTTTAATTATGATATTAAACTTTGATTTGTATGTTGGATGTTTAGCTATTAAAAAAAAAGAAAAGAAAGAAAAACGTACCCTAACCGTACCCGTACCCTCCTTTTTAAAGAATTTTCCATATTGGTGTACCTGCACCCGTGCTTCCTAGGTGCCGGGAGTTCCATCTAAGCAGGTTTTCTTCTTATGGAGACCTTGGGATGGAATCTTACTATTGATAACCTGGTTCATAGAGGACATGCGTTAGTAAATCGGTGTTGTATGCGTTGTGTTTATGCGGAGACGGTGGATCATTTGTTTCTTCATTGTCTAGTAGCTTCACGGCTTTGGGGGCTTATATGTTCTATTTTTGGTATTGTTTGGGTGCAACCAAAGTGTGTTCTAGAGATATTATGGAGTTGGCAGGGGGCTTGGGTTGGGCGTCGTTGGCGAAGGGTTTGGTCATTGGCGCCTTTTTGTTCGATGTGGTTGTTTTAGTTGGAGCGGAATCGGCGAACTTGTCAAGAGATTCATCATTGTGTGTTGTAGCTTGAGAATTGGTTATTAGTTACTATGTATAGGTGGTTGGAGAGAAAAGTGGATCCGGATATATTTGTTTTCTTAGGTTTTTGGGATGATGTTATTGGTTAGGAGTTTTTAGTTTTCCCCTTTGGTGTTCTTGTATTCTTTTGCATCATATTGATGCCTTTTTAATAAAGTTTCATTATTTATCAAAAAATAATAACCAACACTTTCTTTAAAAAGTGAAAGGAACCCTTAATAACTTTTGAATTGAATCAAATAAGAGTCAAATAGATTACGTTACTTGCTTATACGAAAGTAGTCGCTTAATATGTAAAGATTACGAAGATATCCCTAGAAAGAGTTAATAATGCTACATATATTCGTTAAAGGGTAACATCAAACCAGAAACGATATTAGAAACCATGAACCATATGGTGGAATCTAAGAGGTGAGAGATTATGAATGTTTAAAGTAGCAACGTGGAATTTGGGAGATGAAACTAGTAGATGTGGAGTACAACGGCAGAATGCATTAAAAAATATCAAAAAAGTTCTTAAAAAAAGAGATCCTATATCTAAAGAAGCTTGGTAGTGGAATGACGAGATAATAGTAAATAATGTACTAAATAAGGTCAATAAATATAGAAAGAAAACTAATAGTGCTCAAAATGGAACGTCACATGCATTATTTATTATATTTTATGTTTAAAAACTGCATACCCCAACTTGTCATTAGATAAGTTTTTACCTGCTGCAATGGAGAACAGTGGATATGCCTGAACTCCCGGAAGTGCTTTTTAAGATATTCTTGTAGCTTAGGAACATCTTGTCTCCTAAAAACATCCCATACAGAACCACCATCTGCATGTTCCAGCCCATCCAACATTGTTCCTGCATTTGAATATTCGGCACTCTTCCCACTTTTGCCTTGGTCCAGTTTTTTCACTTCACTCCTTTCAGAAGCTTCAGCTGTAATTTGATGGCCTCTGTTTACCTTCTCAGAATTATCTTTTCTCAGTTTCTCGCACTTGCTTTGAAAAATTGCAGGCAGTTTCCTTCTCTTCCTCTTTCTATTTTGAGGACCTTTTCTTGTCCTACTATATGCTTCATCCCCCACAATGTTGATGTCTTCTTCTGATGAAAAAGCAGAATGACATTCTTCATCTAGCTTCTTATACACAATACCATTTAGATCACCATATAGATCAACTTCACATGCAAACTGTTTCCTTCTCTTCCTCTTTCTATTTTGAGGACCTTTTCTTGTCCTACTATATGCTTCATCCCCCACAATGTTGATGTCTTCTTCTGATGAAAAAGCAGAATGACATTCTTCATCTAGCTTCTTATACACAATACCATTTAGATCACCATATAGATCAACTTCACATGCAAACTGTTTCCTTCTCTTCCTCTTTCTATTTTGAGGACCTTTTCTTGTCCTACTATATGCTTCATCCCCCACAATGTTGATGTCTTCTTCTGATGAAAAAGCAGAATGACATTCTTCATCTAGCTTCTTATACACAATACCATTTAGATCACCATATAGATCAACTTCACATGCAAACTGTTTCCTTCTCTTCCTCTTTCTATTTTGAGGACCTTTTCTTGTCCTACTATATGCTTCATCCCCCACAATGTTGATGTCTTCTTCTGATGAAAAAGCAGAATGACATTCTTCATCTAGCTTCTTATACACAATACCATTTAGATCACCATATAGATCAACTTCACATGCAAACTGTTTCCTTCTCTTCCTCTTTCTATTTTGAGGACCTTTTCTTGTCCTACTATATGCTTCATCCCCCACAATGTTGATGTCTTCTTCTGATGAAAAAGCAGAATGACATTCTTCATCTAGCTTCTTATACACAATACCATTTAGATCACCATATAGATCAACTTCACATGCAAACTGTTTCCTTCTCTTCCTCTTTCTATTTTGAGGACCTTTTCTTGTCCTACTATATGCTTCATCCCCCACAATGTTGATGTCTTCTTCTGATGAAAAAGCAGAATGACATTCTTCATCTAGCTTCTTATACACAATACCATTTAGATCACCATATAGATCAACTTCACATGCAAACTGTTTCCTTCTCTTCCTCTTTCTATTTTGAGGACCTTTTCTTGTCCTACTATATGCTTCATCCCCCACAATGTTGATGTCTTCTTCTGATGAAAAAGCAGAATGACATTCTTCATCTAGCTTCTTATACACAATACCATTTAGATCACCATATAGATCAACTTCACATGCAAACTGTTTCCTTCTCTTCCTCTTTCTATTTTGAGGACCTTTTCTTGTCCTACTATATGCTTCATCCCCCACAATGTTGATGTCTTCTTCTGATGAAAAAGCAGAATGACATTCTTCATCTAGCTTCTTATACACAATACCATTTAGATCACCATATAGATCAACTTCACATGCAAACTGTTTCCTTCTCTTCCTCTTTCTATTTTGAGGACCTTTTCTTGTCCTACTATATGCTTCATCCCCCACAATGTTGATGTCTTCTTCTGATGAAAAAGCAGAATGACATTCTTCATCTAGCTTCTTATACACAATACCATTTAGATCACCATATAGATCAACTTCACATGCAAACTGTTTCCTTCTCTTCCTCTTTCTATTTTGAGGACCTTTTCTTGTCCTACTATATGCTTCATCCCCCACAATGTTGATGTCTTCTTCTGATGAAAAAGCAGAATGACATTCTTCATCTAGCTTCTTATACACAATACCATTTAGATCACCATATAGATCAACTTCACATGCAAACTGTTTCCTTCTCTTCCTCTTTCTATTTTGAGGACCTTTTCTTGTCCTACTATATGCTTCATCCCCCACAATGTTGATGTCTTCTTCTGATGAAAAAGCAGAATGACATTCTTCATCTAGCTTCTTATACACAATACCATTTAGATCACCATATAGATCAACTTCACATGCAAACTGTTTCCTTCTCTTCCTCTTTCTATTTTGAGGACCTTTTCTTGTCCTACTATATGCTTCATCCCCCACAATGTTGATGTCTTCTTCTGATGAAAAAGCAGAATGACATTCTTCATCTAGCTTCTTATACACAATACCATTTAGATCACCATATAGATCAACTTCACATGCAAACTGTTTCCTTCTCTTCCTCTTTCTATTTTGAGGACCTTTTCTTGTCCTACTATATGCTTCATCCCCCACAATGTTGATGTCTTCTTCTGATGAAAAAGCAGAATGACATTCTTCATCTAGCTTCTTATACACAATACCATTTAGATCACCATATAGATCAACTTCACATGCAAACTGTTTCCTTCTCTTCCTCTTTCTATTTTGAGGACCTTTTCTTGTCCTACTATATGCTTCATCCCCCACAATGTTGATGTCTTCTTCTGATGAAAAAGCAGAATGACATTCTTCATCTAGCTTCTTATACACAATACCATTTAGATCACCATATAGATCAACTTCACATGCAAACTGTTTCCTTCTCTTCCTCTTTGGGGAGTTCATGCTGCTGCTGTTCATGTTGAAAGTGCAAAGATCTGTTTCCTTAGTCTTTGCAACAAAAACGAGGCATTATAGTGCATGAAGAAATGATCAATTTATCAAGAGTACTCTCCTTACTCTTTCTGGAACAAAAAATTGAAATAAAAAAGAGCTTACTGCTTTCAACTTATTTTGCTCATTCTAAAGTAAAAAATAAACCAAGCCAAGCCTTACGTCCTATCAAATGGGGTCGGCTACATGAATCCTTCTTCTCCATGCGGCTCTATCAAAGGCCATTTCGTTAGTCAAATTAAATAGATTCATATCTTTATTTATTACGCTAGCCAACGTCAATCTACATTTATCCCATTCCCTAATACTTCTATCTACCGTCACTGCATCACATCTCTTTACTACTGCCTCTGTTGGTCTCCATAGATTATGACCAAACCATCTCAATCTATTCTCTCTCAAATTATCTTCAATCGGTGCTACTCCTATCCATTTCTAAATATACTCATTCCTAATTTTGCCACACATCCACCTTAACATCCTCATCACAGCAACACTCATCTTATCTACATGTTGTTTCTTGGTTGTCCAACACTCTATCCTATGCAACATCGTTGGTCTAATAGCCGTTTTATAGAACTTTCCTTTTAGTCCAGTGGGTACTTGTTTATTGCACAGTATCTCAGATGCACTTTGCCATTTAAGCCACCCTGCTTTAATTCTATTGACCAAATCTGCATCAATCTCCCCTGCCGTTGTGATAATCGACCCAAAATAACGAAAATGCTCACTCTTCGGTAGTTCTTGGTTCTCAATCTTCATTTCTCTTCTGTTTCATTGTTACTGTTACTAAATTTACACTCCATGTATTTTGTCTTAGTTTTGCTCATCCGAAATCCTTTAGATTCAAGTGTTTTTCTCCAAATCTCCAACTTTGTGTTAACTCCTTCTCTAGTCTCATCCACTAATATGATATTATTTGCAAAAAGCATACATCATGGCACATTATCCTGAATATTTCTCGTCAACTCATCCATAACTAAAGCAAAACGATAAGGACATAAAGTAGATCCTTGGTGTAACTTTACAGTAATTGAAAATTCATTTGTCTCTCCAGTAGCGATCTAATAGTGGTCACCACCCGTTCATACATGTCCCTAATCACATCAATGTAACCTTTGTCACCCCTTTCTTCTCTAACACCTATCAGATTATATTCCGAGGCACTCTATCATATACTTTCTCAAGATCGATAAATACCATATGAATGTTTTTTTTCTTTTCTCTGTACTTTTTTTATTGCTCTCCTTAAAAGATAAATCGCTTCCATTGTTGAACTACCAGGCATAAACCCAAATTGATTCTTTGACGCCTCTGTTATATCTCGCAATCGACGTTCCATCACCCTTTCCCACATTTTCATTATATGACACATTAGCTTGATTTCTCTATAATTGTTGCAATTCTGGACATCTCCTTTATTCTTATAAATTGGTACTAAAATATTCTTCATCCACTCATCTGGCATGTTCTTAGTCAACAAAATCTTGCTAAACAACCTAGTCAACTAAGCAATCCCTTTTTTATCCAAACACTTCCAAGCTTCAATAGAAATATCATCGGGTCCTAAAACCTTAATTGATTTCATCTTCTTAAGTGCAATCTCCACTTCAAAGTTCCTAATCTTGTGATAGAACCTATAGTCTTGATTTTTTTTATTGCTAGCTATTTCCTTCCCTATTAACGTACCTCTATGCTCCTTATTTAACAGTTTCTCAAAATAGTTCTTCCATCTCTCCTTAATCTCTTCATCCTTCACCAATACCTTAGAATCCTCACTCTTGATGCACTAATCTCTTGTTTTCCTCTCCTTTATCTTAGCAAGTTTGTATACCCTCTTCTCTCCCTCCTTACTATCTAGTCTAGTATATAGGTCATCATAGGCTTTCAACTTAGCATCTCTCACTATTTTTTTGACCTTCTTATTAGCCAATCTATAGCTTTTAAGATTTTCCTCAGTTCTATCATTCTGCCACTTTAAAGCAGTCTTTTTTCGCCTTAATTACCGCTTGAACCTCTTTCCTCCACCACCAAGTTTCCCTAGAATTGGGTCCGTTTCTTTTCGACTCTCCAAGAATTTCCTTTGAGATTCTCCTGATACAATTGGCTATCGAATTCCACAGAGTGTTAGTATCATCTTCCAAGTCCCAAGTACCTTCCTTATCGATTGTATTCTTAAATATTCTAGTTTATCCCCCCTTTTAGGTCCTACCGTCTCGTCCTACGACGCCCACTATCCTTCTTAGCTTGGTATTGACCTTTAAAGCATAAATCTAGTACCAAAATCCTATGTTGAGACGTCAAGCTCTCTCCTCTCTCCAGGAATCACCTTACAGTCACTGCATTTTAGACGGTCCACTTTCCCCACTAAAAAGTAATCTGTTTGGCTTTTAAATGACCCACTCTTAAAGGTTATCAAATACTCCTTCCTCTTCTTATACATAGTATTAACCACCACCAGGTCAGAAGCCAACGCAAAATCTAAAATACTCTCTCCAGCTCATTTCTATCACCAAAACCATATCTACCATGCACCCTCTCATAACCTAGTTTATCTATTACTACATGGCCGTTAAAATCTCCACCTGTAACTAGGTTCTCTCCTACAGGTATCTCCTGTATGATCTCATCCATTTGCTCCAAAAAATCCCCCTTAGTCTAATTATCTAATCCTACTTGGGGGGCGTATGCACTAATAACATTCATTATATTCCCTCCAATAACTAGTATAACTAACATAATCCTATCACATTTCCTAATGACCGCTACTACATTTTCTATAAGACCCTTAGCAACTATTATTCCTATCCCATTCCTATGTCTATTCTTGCTACTATAATACAGTTTAAACCTGGTATCCTCAATTTCCCTAGCTTTTTCACCCGTCCACTTCGTTTCTTGTACGCATGCTATACTAGTTCTCCTTCTAATTATAACACCTACCAATTCCATAGTCTTACTAGTTAAAGTTTCTATATTCCAAGTGGCTACCCCAAATCTATAGTCTTGGACTAGCTTCTTTACTTGCGTTGGTCCAGAAAAATGCGAAAATCTTTGTCCATTTTTCACCACACCCAAGCCTTCTAAAGTAAAAAATAAGCATAATTCGTCCAAAATAAATAAATAAATAAACAAAGAGTAGAAAATCAAGCACCATAGATCAGAAAAAGAAACAACCATTTCAACAACATAACAAGAAAACTATCTAAAATAACATATCGTATTCAAATTTTCTACTGGAAAAACCTAAAATGACCTGTCTTCTACATTTACGTAATTTTCTCCCGAAATTTATCTGGTGTATGGGAAATCAATATGAATTCTTTTTTTTGGGTAGCTTCTCATCTTCTATGTTGTCTTCCAAGAACGTCTACCACTCTCATCCCAGCTTACAGTATCGATTCCCAGAAGAACTATTGCTCTGTATCAATTCCACCTTATGGTGAAACTGTCTATCTCTCCTATAAAAAAAAAAGGGAACAAGGATCTTGAAGATAGGTTATATTCCAGAAGAAATTTTCTGCTGCAAGGTCAGATTGAAGTTTCTTCATTTTAAACCTAAGAAGCACGGACACTTCTATTGTGTCGGGCATGATATTCTGCAAACACTCCGAAAAGCATATCCACCAATTCTTCAACATGTCTTAATTAAAATTTTAAGTTCATAATATTGGACACTTTATAACACTTCTTGGACACTTCAACGACACTTCTTGAATCCTCTGAACACTATTAAGTCACCGATTTTCCCAAAAGCCTAAGTTGTTAGGAAATTGGCCCAACAATGTATATCAAGCTATCTAACACCCGCTCTCACATGCAATCCCGTCTTGCACATAGAGAGACAAGCAAGAGAACCAAACAGAAGAAGAAGCAAACAACCAAAAAGAGAGGAAGAAACAAAACGTGGATAGAAAACCAAATGTCAATAGAGAGATTTGAACCCAAGACTTCTCTCAACCAAAACTCTGATACCATGTTAAGTCAAGATAAGTTATATTCCAGAAGAAATTTTCTGCTGCAAGGTAAGATTGAAGTTTCTACATTTAAACCTAAGAAGCATGGACACTTCTATTGTGTCGGGCATCATACTCTGCAAACACTCCTAAAAGCATATCCACCAATTCTTCAACATGTCTTAATTAAATTTTAAGGTCATAATATTGGACACTTTATAACACTTCTTGGACACTTCAACGACACTTCTTGAATCCTCTGAACACTATTAAGTCACCGATTTTCCCAAAAGCCTAAGTTGTTAGGAAATTGGCCCAACAATGTATATCAAGCTATCTAACACCCGCTCTCACATGCAATCCCGTCTTGCACATAGAGAGACAAGCAAGAGAACCAAACAAAAGAAGAAGCAAACAACCAAAAAGAGAGGAAGAAACAAAACGTGGATAGAAAACCAAATGTCAATAGAGAGATTTGAACCCAAGACTTCTCTCAACCAAAACTCTGATACCATGTTAAGTCAAGATAAGTTATATTCCAGAAGAAATTTTCTGCTGCAAGGTAAGATTGAAGTTTCTACATTTAAACCTAAGAAGCATGGACACTTCTATTGTGTCGGGCATCATACTCTGCAAACACTCCTAAAAGCATATCCACCAATTCTTCAACATGTCTTAATTAAATTTTAAGGTCATAATATTGGACACTTTATAACACTTCTTGGACACTTCAACGACACTTCTTGAATCCTCTGAACACTATTAAGTCACCGATTTTCCCAAAAGCCTAAGTTGTTAGGAAATTGGCCCAACAATGTATATCAAGCTATCTAACACCCGCTCTCACATGCAATCCCGTCTTGCACATAGAGAGACAAGCAAGAGAACCAAACAAAAGAAGAAGCAAACAACCAAAAAGAGAGGAAGAAACAAAACGTGGATAGAAAACCAAATGTCAATAGAAAGATTTGAACCCAAGACTTCTCTTAACCAAAGCTCTGATACCATGTTAAGTCAAAAATTTTCCCAAAAGCCAAAGTTGTTAGGAAATGGACCCAACAATGTATATCAAGCTATCCAACAAACATAACTTATGTAATGAATCTCTTCATAGTAATAACAATATTCTGCATTCTTCAAACTGCTATGTGTGCATTGTAAATATGTTTTGAAGCATTTATACGATGAATATATCCTATGTATTTTTATGTTCTATTATTTTGTACTCTTTAGAATGCAAGTTTTACATGAATAATATCTTGTTATGTTTACATTATAGAATATATGACTTTTTAAAATAAAAAAATTGGGCAAATTACATATACTCCCCTCGAGGTTTGACTAAATTACAAATACCCTCTGAGGTTTGAGAAATTATAAATTTCCCCCTGAATGCTATATTTGCATAACAAATTAGGGGGTAATTTGTTATGAAATTTAAACTTCAGGGGATAAATTGTTATGAAAATACAAACCTAAGGGGGCAGGATGTAATTTTCGAAACCTCAGGGAGTATCTGTAATTTAGCCAAACCTCAAGGGAGGTATATGTAATTTGCCCAAAAAAAAAATTAGTTGGTGTTATATTGCTTTTTATTACATTACCTGTGAATAAACTACTCATATATTTGATGTATAATAAATTATAAAAGTACAAATTTTTTAATGTGTTGCATTTTTTAAAAATTGTACGGTTGGTGTTTTCCTGTCACGTGGCTATGATACTTAGTTTCAAACCATCTACATATCCACATCAAGAAGCACTTGAGACCCCAGGCATAAAAAGAAATGAATGTAAACTTGGGTTAAAATATTTGCACTTTTAGCTTTTTCTATATGTAAATATTTCTAAACTTAATCTAAATTCTTAGAAAGACTTGGAAGAAATGTGATGGACTGGAAACATCTTTGCAATCACTTAGATGCCATTAGTTTTTTAGGCAATTGGATTGGTTATCACTCACAACAAAGACACATAATTCAATGCTCAACTACAATGAATAATTTAAATCCTGAACTAACCTCACTCCAATCCAAGCAATCACTGGCCACAACATCTAAATGCTTAGAATGCTGAGAATGTGTTATCTGTCTGAATGCACGCCACATAACCATTGGTTCCCAACTCAAACCAGATGTATGTTCAAGCACATCACTCACAATCACTGGCTCACCTTTGACCCAGTGCTGCTGGAAATGCTTCAAATTCCCATGTTGAATGTCTCCGGCTGTAGGACAGAACAGATAGTTGTCAATGGAATTTTCTCAACAAGCTGCTTTATGTGACTTAGCACTGTCTAAGTCTATGTCACCCAGTGAACTGAAACAGGAGCACCATTGCAGGGAAGTTCTAGGCATAACATGAAGTTTGAGCATTTTAGATGCATCCTCTGCTTTCTTCACCAAGCATGAAACCCAATCTTCAGGAAGCATGCACTTCAACTCTAGTTGGTGATGACCACAGCCACCCATTTTCCTCGCAGGACAACAAATGACACCATTTTTATTCGCTTTCCACTCAGAAGTTGACTTCTCATGATCTTTGGACCTTGTGCCAACAGATATATCCAAATCTCCGCCCTAATGGAAATCGAAGGGGCAAAGACTGAAAGCTTAGTTTTTTCAGAATTTTAGAGTTTTCTCAGGATTTGGTTACTTATTTGATTTATATTAGGATTATTACACATGTATATATATAGGGCTGGTATAAGGATCTATTAGAGAATTGTTGGCATTAATGGAATTAAAATGCAGTTTTTTGTGTACCTCTCTGCTACTTCACCCCCGCTGTTTCTCCTTCTTTCCTGCTGCTGATTATTTTCTTCACCGTGCTGAACCACACCCTTTCCAGAGAAAACAGGATAGGCATTGCCACCATGCAGACAAGATCGTCCATTGTCAATATATTGAAAGATTACTTCCTTCCCACCTCCCAGGAAGTGACCATCACGGATCTCCCGAGAACAAGTGAGGCAAAGGCGAAAAGAACAGTTTGGACAGCTTCGGTGGAAGTCCACAATAGAAGTTTTACAGTAGGTGCTGCATCATAAAATAGAAATTTGAATTAGGAGTTGTGCAGCCGTAATTGTTGACTTTTGGTGAATAGTGTTAACTTTTTAACTTTTTGAATAACTTTTTAACTTTTTAGCTTTTTTGGAAGCACCCAAACTTACAATATTGGACACTCGACACTTGGGTAAGTGCATAGAGTATGTGTCGCATACTTCTCATCAGACATTTCTTATATATTTGTGCTTTTAACACTATTATTTAAGAAGTACAAACACTTCTAAAAAGATGGTGTGTCTGTATCAGACACTGATATTCATCGAACACTTTCCCAACACTCATCCAAATGTGTCTTATTTTTTTAAAAAATAATTTAGACTCAAATACTCTTTAGAGAGGACACACCTATGAAGTACATGTACTCAAAAATGTTGTCTTATAAGTATCAGATACGAGTATGCGTATCGGTATGGCAAAAACACGCTAGGTACGTTTTATACAATATGTAGAAGCCTGGTCCACAATGGGTACGCCAGGGTAAAAAACAAGATTTTTAACAATTGTAAGGATACCGGAGCAATTTTTTTGTCCATTTTAAAAAATTAAATAACTTTGGGATTCTTTTGCAATAATAAAAACATAACACAAACTGAAATCAGGTTTATTGTTTTGATTCAATTCTCTTTAGTGAAGATCATAGGCGGCGAGTTCGACAAAAGAACACGGTCGCCGATTGAACACTCCTTCGAAGGCGACGGTGTAGGTCGACGGCAAAGCTCGATATTCCGATGAATTTCTCTTAGTTCCTCTTCTTCGATTCTTCCTCTTATTCTTTGATTCTTCTTCCTCTTTCTTTGAAATTTTTTTTTTCCCAGATTTTTCCCCTCATTTTTAGCAGCAAACAACCAAATCAGTCCAACATCTGATTTTTCTTGTTTCCGGTGAGTTTTCTTACCTCCTCTTGTAGTCAATCTCCTCTTCTTTGATTATTTTTTCTGATCCGTCCAACATTTAATTTTTTTTTTCTAATATAATTCTGTAGTAGACACAATTAGAATTATATAAAATAAAAAAAATTAAAATATGAGAAGACAAAAGAAAGGAACATTCAAATTCAGGGTTCATAAACTGATTATGATGTATTTATTTTATTGTAATTACTTTCATAATATTGATGGTTTTAAATTGTTATTTGAATATTTGAAAAATTATATACTCGAATGAAGTGAAAGAATTTACAAATTATTTTGATTTTGTAATTTTTTTTTAATTATGATATTAAGCTTTGATTTGTATGTTAGATGTTTAGCTATATATTATAAATAATAATAAAAAATTAGCGTACCCCCGTTGTACCTATATCCTACTTTTTAAAGAATTTGTCGTATCTGCACACCCGTACCGTACTCGCACCCACATCCACACCCGCACTAGCACTCGTGCTTCCTAGGGACATACGTATCTATTGCTTAAACACACGTGTTCATTAATTAAACACACACGAAATTAATTATAAGTTTGAATAAAATAACTTAGAATACGATAATAAAAGAAAAATGTCAATTTATAGAAATTGGTATTATATTGCATTTATGTATTGTCCTAGAATAATATATTCATATATATGACATTTAATGAATATATAAAATTATATATTATGTGTGTGTCCCCCACGTGTCGTGTCCTGTATCTTTTAAAAATTGTCATATCAGCGTGTTTGTGTCGTTTTTGTGTCGTGTCATGTGTCCATGACTGTGCTTCTTAGACTATTATTATATATACATATTGTTGTATGATTGCTATAAATGTCTTTATCACACTGTATGTTACATATAAAACCATTTTATTTCCCATAATAGATTAAATTATAAAAAAATGATTATTATTATTTTTTTGATTGAGTCTACATAACTTTACATTTTGATAAGTCTAACATTTATACACACACACACGCACCCGTACCCCAGTCCTTGTAACATAGGTTGGGGAAGAAGTGGTGGAGGTGGAGAGGAGATGGCACGGGTGCCAAAGGTGGCGACAGTAGGTGGCAAGTGGTGGTGGATATTTAGGCCAAGTTTGGCAACCAAAAAATAATCCACTTTTTATCTGTTTTTCATCACATCACTTCTCTATTTTTCTACACATCTTTTTGTAAAAATACAAAAAGTGTACTTATTTAGATCATCCAAAATAACCCTTTAATTAGGGTAAAGGTTAGGATTAGGGTTCAAAGATTGAAGATCAAGATATCATAAAGGTTAAGCGGTGCAAATTGAGAAGGAAAAAACATTAATAATAAATAAATCAAATTTGTGTGTGTACGTGTGAACTGAGTAATGGTGTGGGGTGTGCAAATAAAAGCCCAATCCCTTCACTTTTAAGATTTAAAAAGTTCATTATAACTTAAACCAATTTCTCTCAATTTCTTTCCATTTCCTTCATTTATCGCTCCTTCAATAATTAATCATAATCTAAACACGTGATTAGGATCAATTTCATTTTTGTTTTCCACTCCATATCACTCAATCTAAACGGGCTATAAAGTAATGATCAAGATTCAAGATGCCTTGCTAAAAATGTAGCCAGAGTGAAAAAAAATAAAAAATAAAGTTTCGAGAGTAAATACCATCTGATTAAACAGGGAATACAAAATCTTTTGATCATACACTTCTGGCACCGAACAACCCGTCCTTTCTTACTCGTTTGGCACTGGTGACACATCAATGACTTGATTTTATTCCCCTATTCCACCCAATTTCATTTCAGAAATCAAACACACAACACAACAATAACTAATCACGCAGATAGTTGACAAAAATAAAAGAAATCAAATGATAAATTCGAAGCAATGTTATCAATCCCGTCCGATAAAAGAAACCAAATGATAATTTTGAAGCAACATTATCAATTCTGTACCGTACCGGCCGGCGCCGATGCAGAAGTAAAACAATTGTCTATTTTGAAAAATAGATTAAAATTCAATTTTTGATTTCTTTTTAAAAAACGTGTAAAAATTGAAATTTTTTTTTTCGTATTTTTTTATTTTTAGTGAAATTTTTTAAATTTTAAAGTCATTTTTTTACTTTTTTAGATGCACTTTAGTTAGATGTATTTAAATAGTAAAATATTTGTGTAAAAATATTTTAAAAATTAATAAATACATAAAAATACGAAAAATGCAAATTTTTGTTTTTTTTTGTTTGTATTTTTTGATATTTAGTGTATTTTTTAAAGATTTTTTCACAAATATTTTACTTTTTAAGTATATTTGTGTTAGGTGTGCCTAAAAATTTTAAAAAAAAATAACTTAAAATATTAAAAAAATTCATTGAAAATATTAAAATACAAAAAAAAAAAGAGTAAAATTTTCTAAAAACTGTTTTTTGAAATTCAAAATCAAACAAAGTGACGTGATTTAAAAAAATTAAAAAATCAAAATGTTCACTTTAATTAACTTATGAAAATAGGCCATAATCTAATTCCATTCTACAATAACGGCTGAAAAACATAATTCCGGATAAATACTGGAAGGTATAGGCAGAAAACATAATATGGAAAAGTGTCAGACAATATCAATAATTTGGAAAAGTATCAGACAATATCAGTAATTTGTTTTATAATAATTTGTAATATTAAAATAATAGAAATTTGTGCTCACACTTGTTTTGAAATATTATTTAATAGACGATATATTTTTAAGTCTCTTCTACATAAAAATTTGAATAATGTTGGAGACTTGTAAAAAATTGTTATTCACAATATATATTATTAAATTACTTGTTACTAAATAATAATTTTAATACATATATAATTACTTGTTACTAAATAATAATTTTAATACATATATAATTAAAGTGGTTAAAACCGTACCGGATGTCTACCTATCCCAACACTTGGGCTCATCGGCTTAATGCCATGTTCTTTTCCATTACTACGCTGCCTTTTTTCTTGATCTGGCTGATAAACCCTTACGATTTTCCATCGCTTTCTCGTTTCGTCGACCCCTTTTCTTCGCCTTCTTTCTCAGCCAACAAACAAGTCCAGATTTACCCCTGATATCACTTGCAGAAAAATGTTTACTCCGTCAGAAACTGAGCCAACTATACTTTAAAACAACAATGCTACATACATTAAATTTTTACCACTAACACCACTACTAAAGATGTGACAAGTAAAAAAAAAAAAAAAAATTAAGACACAAAACACATGTGGTGGGTGGGACCCACTGCCACATTCCTAGTGCAACTACTAATTAGTGATCTGTATCATTTTTCACTTTAAAATTGAGAAAATAAAGGATATGTTTGATTTGTGTTTGAGAAATGTGTTTTAGAGATAAAATGTACGAAAAGTTGTTTGGTTTAGTTTTTTTCAAAAGATTTTTTGGAAAATTATTTTGAGAGAGAGTTTTGAAAAAAGTGATTGATTTGATGTGTGTGTGAGAGAGATTTGTTTGGAAAACTTGTTTGGTTTACAAGTTTTGAGAAATTTTTTTTGAAAAATTTGTTTGGTTTGATTACTTTTAAAAACTTATTTGTAGAGAAAATTTCCTAAATTTTTTTCAGAAATACAAACCAAACGAAAGTCTTTACTTCTCCCAAGTCCCAATCAAATTGAATCCTATTAGGGTGTCGATTCATATGTTCATGAATTTTCCATCAAATATGAATGAAAAGCATTCAAAAAGTATCTGATTGGTTTTATTTTCAAGTATTGTTTTCACACAAAATAAAATAAAATAATTTATATAGTTTATATATTAAGGACAATTATTAAAAAAAAAAAAAACTCAAGATTTGAACTTGTAACAAAATAAATTCTTAATTTTTAATTTTATCAATTTATATTCTAAATTTTTGATTTGTTTTTAATCTAAATTATTTGTCTATTTTCGTTATGTAAAGCCGATAAAAAATAATATTTTAATCATTAAACTCAATGTAGATATATATAAATATTACATTGAGTTTCATGACTAAATATTCATTTTTTCATCGATTTTATTTAACGAAAATAGATAATAAATTAGATTTAAAAAACAAACAAAAATTTAAGATTTAAACTGATAAAATTAAAAATTCAAGATTTATTTTGTTACAAGGCTCAGACCTTGAGATTTTTTTTATAATCTTTCCTTTATATTTTGAGGGATTTAAAATAAATTTTAAATTTTAAATAATATCATTTTAATATTTATTTTTGTCAAATTATTATTTTTTTAAATCTAAA